TCCCTTCTTCTCTTTTCAGAAAGCGAGTAATGGCGCTATAACCATATGCCATATAGGGCTAGGACAAGAGTTAGTGCTCAGGTCCCAACCGCTAGAAGAAAATGGTAGCGAGCAAGGGCGCTATAACCTAGGCGAATACAGCATTCCCTCCGTATAGGTTACGTCCGCACACCGCTCTCCGTTGTCCTTCAACTGAGGTCGGCTGGATCGATTGAGGGATGGCAGTGGGTTGGCGGTGCCGTCCACGCTTGTATGGAGGGAGGACTGTTCGCTCGAACACAAGGGGTAAATACCTGTGTTCCATCCCAGGAGATCGGACAACCAAGGAGTGTACATTAACTTTCTTAGCTCTGTCACTCCCAACGATTTATATAGCCTATTTTCAAATCCAGCATACGGAGCGGTTGGTACGGTATGTCCCCGCTCTTTGATTACCTGTGGATTAAATGTTAACCACTGTCTATACTTATTAAGTAGACATGGTAAACATTCACTTCCACAAAAATTAACTAAACGCTACACAGTAGGCTGGCCGCTTTATTGTTTGTTTCAGACTTGGTAAAAACACCGCTCGGTGCGGCTCGGTGGCAACCTACTCATGTATGCACAGCACTGGGTTTCTTCGATAAAGCACCCGGTGTCGGTGCAACATGTTGGCACGCCACCGAACCAAAAGAGAAACCCAAACGCGGTGCTGCGGGCTACGGCTCGCCACCGTGCGGCACGGAGCCAACGGAGCTCATGATTTCGTATCGTTCGTTGTTGGTGATGCGCTATGCTCGGTCCCATTTGCGTTTTTGTCAAAACTGAGTTTTTCAATGGAAGTGGTAGCAAGTAGCTCATAGTTTAATTATACTCGATGAACTCAAGAAATTTGTTCTGAAATAGTTTAGAAAAATGGGCAAGTAGGTTTTCCCTTTACATAAAAATCCATGGTGCGAAGCAAACTTAAAACGCGTTCTTAATTGCGTCCGTCATTTCTCTCGACAGGAACAGGGTCCGTTCGGATACGGATGTGTTGGCCATTTTCGGAATGTTGAAAATTATGAATAACCGGGTGAAGCAAAATGTCTAGATCAACCATAGAAAAGGGCCCATCAGCATTTGTAAACAAATCGTTCTAAAGCCCTTTCCTAACACAGCAAAGGCCGCCTACGCAAACCAACACCATCATCGGATAAGGGAAAGTTTCCCCTACATGATATGGCGTTGGTTTGCGTGGGTAGCCTTCGCTTAGTTTCACATCCTTGATGTGCAGCAGGCATTAATAATGACAAGAAAAATGATAGATGTATCATTTTCCAGGATTCTTTCAAGTACTGGCTGTGTATGTGTAGACTAGACTAGACTAGATATCTCAACAATTTGTGGCTTTTTATCAAATCCAACGGTACGTCTGAAAAGGTGAATTAATTTAGAAGTCATCTTTGACAGAAAAATTCCATTTTTAGTTTAAACTCGTTCAGGAAAGAGAGGTAAAGTGTGCGTTGGGCTTAGTAGGACGGAAATTAGATCAAAAACCCTAATAAGATGCAGCTCTATACCTCCTGATCTCACAATGGCAGGTGCATGTCACACTGAAATGTACAGGATATATTAAGCAATTGAATATATTTTGCTCGAATTTGTGAAATTGTGATGAATAACTAGAATAATGAATATACATTTATGTAGATAAAATAATTGATATTCTGCAATGAAAATAATACATATTTTACATATAATAAGATGCAGCTCTATGTTTCTTCAGCTCACAATATCAAGTGGATGTAGCACTGAAATTTCAAGGTTATATTAACCAAATATATATTTTGATCTTGTATTATACTTGATATTCTCTCCTTACAATAATGTAAGGATGTAAATGTAAAGTGTGAAGTATAACTAACAAGACTAACAACAAAATGGGAATCTCGTCTAAATGATGCCATGCACAACGAGAAATAACCTGTATAAAATGTATGCATATAATGTTATGCATTGTTGTTGCTTCCACTACTTCATCCGCTAGATTTTAATTTCGATAAGTAATGCAATACAATATAAATATATAATTGTTCCAGCTAATATTGGTCATTAGGTAGAACTTTTAGTAGTCTGCAGAAGGTTAATTATTTTAATGTTGGTCTTTTTATGATCTATCAACGAAAAGCTGAAATAAACATGAATAATTGATATCGATGAATCCCGTATTTCAGATATGTTTTGAATTTCTTTTGATTGTTTTATTTGAAATTCAACATTGTTTGGTCCATGAAGGAGTATGCTGTTGTAGTGAATAATGAAATGAAAATAATTAAATTCAATATGTGCCTCCGTTAGATCAACCGGTAAAGGCATAGATATCAAGCAACGACAAGCAATGACTTTAAAAACGCAAACGTCACGAAAAGTGGAAGGAGGGTAAATTTACCTCATTTAAATTAAATACTGTATAGTTTGAAATGCATGAATATAATTTAATGATAAATATATTTTTTTTTTTTTTATATTATTGTCACTTTAACACTCTTGGGTCATTCGTGACTTGTCCGGGGGTGAGATTTGAACTCGTGACTTTGGCGTGAAAGGTATGGATGTTAACCACTACGCCGGGGTCGCCCCCCTATTTAATGATATAATATGATAAACAATGATAACAATCTAAAAATATAAAGGAATTCAATTTAATAAATGAAATATATAAAAATGAATATTAAATTCATTCAACTATAACTCTATATTGGATCATCGGTTGGGATGATGATGATGATGATCAGCGCGTTAGGGAGATATATAGTAAAGGAGTGTTGATTGTAACCGTAGGAAGTTTAATATAATACACTGGAGTCGCTTTTTACGCGGTTTTTTTTAAGACGGTTTTTTTTACACGGTTAGTGCCGCTGAGCCGTAATTTACGCGGTACGTTTTTAACGATTTCTCGACAACGATACGACCTATCAACTTGATTCCAATCACATTATTCGTTTCAAACTATAGGTAATCGAATGGCATACTATTAAAAAAATCACAATTTTTGGTGTAAATACAGAAATTTTTAAAATATGTCTATATGGACCATAGCATGCTATAATTGCGTATGGCATCAAAATCCGATTTATAAAAAATATTTATGCATGTGAAAAATCAAAATTTCGGTAGTTTTTTTACGCGGTTTTTTAGCGGCACGTAAATATCCCCCGCGTAAAAAGCGACTAATAATATGTCGCGTAATATGGAGTCAAGATACTGATTCACGAATTAATTTTGTCTCAATAACAGGAATTCCTGAACTCAAAAATGAACAATTTTGCGTACAATTATTAATAAAATAATATTCAAATGTAATATTTTTAAGAGGCCGGACGTAGACTGAAAAAAAGTAAATTATTTAACATCCACTGGCTTACGTATCATCAACGAAGAGCTTGAAAACAAATCAATGATTGAAGAAAATATGCTGAGAATTCCTCTGCTGATGATGAAATGGAACTATAACTCATTGTAGCAGGCAGTGTTGGCAAAATCAGAAATCAATTAATGTTTTTCCGCTCTCATGCGCTCGCAATATCACGCGTGATATTGGAACAAAATATCATGCTTGATATTGATTTTACAATGTAACTCTACTGTCTGTATCCCGGTAAAAACGCTCAGTAGCAAGAAACCTCTCGAGCTGTGTCTCAAGGTCGGCTTACTACTGGGTAATCTGGAGGGGCTTCGCGATCCTAACGTGCAGTACTGTCACCTGACTAAAAGCTATGGAAAGTTTAAGTGACACAGTAATCAAAGGGTGTATACTATTATTTATTAATAAAAGCTATAGCAGGTGTGGATTGGATTTCTAATAGTTCTATTGAATTTTATGGATGTACAGTGGGTTTTTGGGGGTTTGACGTACCGGTACTGAACTGCTGCCGTTGATTCTGCTCTGCCGAAGACTACTCTACCGATGTGCGAGCGCTCGCCGATGATCCTACGTACGACGAGCTTGACGTCGGGCGAATCAAGCCTGACAGGGTGGTGATGTTGGAACAACAGATCGACTTAACTCGATGGCGATCTGCGGTCTCCTGGCGTCTACCCTCGTTGACGAGAATCACCAGAGTCCAGGCAAGGCCGGAGTGACTCTGCTGAGAGGGGTCCTCTTTTGCGTTTAGAGCCGCCTTGGCCCGAGGAATGCGGCGATTTTGACCTTGCAATGCCAAATCGAAATGATGTCCTTTACTGTTAGGATTAATAGCCACTAAGGACCAATAATCCGACTCGTGTGCTTCCTGACCGACTTAGTCGGTTGGTTCACAAAATGGCGCTGTACCGAATGGTACCACAAAAAGGTCCTGATTGAACAGATAGGTATTCCCGCGATTCACCACTCACTTTTATTACTTTGAGGACACTTGGTTTTAACGGTCCGAAGCACACGAACGCCAGATACTGATTAAGGAATGGCGGTTTTCCTTCGCGCTTTTCCCATCCCATTACTCTTCTCGTGAGACGTTATTTTCCACCCATTTTGAATTCGTAGTTTCGCCCGAATGTTGTTGTACCCACTGGTAGAATACTCATACCCACTGTACTGTTGTACGGTTTTATATAACTTTCAAATTTAAAAACAATTAATCATACTAACAAATTAACATTTTTTTACAACGACTACTAACCCTACTAATCCAACACCAAATAACTTTAAGAGACGTGACGGTATATTTAACAACCATGCACAAAATTAAAAATCTAACATGTTTTGTAACAAACGGTTACACTATCCCCCCACCTCGGAAAAATAAATGTATGAACTAATTAAAACATTTATTTACCTTCACAAAGAATGCTATAACCTAGTTAAAACATCGAGACAATTGCCTAGATACGGAGCAAACATGATTAATTTGTGCTTCTTTTAATTTTAAAATATTACGAGTAGCAGTTAAAATAACTTTAAGTTTACGACAATTACATAACACGTTAAAAACCTTGTGTAACTAAAAGCTAAATTTTGAATAAAACTTGCCATAATTGATCACGTGTGGTCCCCCTAACTGTGCTTATGTGTGTCGATGAACACCGAGATGAACATCTGTGGTGAGTTTCTACTACATTGATCCGTTATCAGTTTATCATTCGGGTATGAGGATCTACGAATGCAGAATACGATTTAGTCTACTCCGGTGATCGCGCGCGTACTGATCTCTATTGCGGATAGTGGAATTGGTAAAGTGTTAAATTAGATGTGATAGTTGCTGTATGGCTGTTCGGTGCATCTGGTGAATTACGTGATAAGTGAACTCCCTTGTTAGACTGATTGAATTTCTTTTATTTCTAGCTTTGTTCTACCAGTTGGCCACCCGGTAATGTTTAAACAATTCTAGGAATCAAATCTATTCGCGATTGACTAATTTATTGATCAGGTAAGTGGCGATACACGGTACAGTAGAAAAATATTTCTCTTATTCTTCGACCCTAAACTCCTCTTCTTCTCCTATTAAATTTTCTGCAGTAGCCTATCTTTTGTTGGAGCTCTTCTTTTTCTAATTTATCTTTCTTCTATTTTACAGGCAAATACATCTAAAAACAGCGAAGACACAAACTGCGTTGCTGACAACGACGATGCATATACATAGGACATATATTCGACGACGACGACGACGACGACGAAAAATCCTATCCTTTGGTTCTACGATGACACGATGAACGATGCACGATGAACTCACAAACAATTAACGATGATTGACTAACTGCAATCCAGCTATCAAGAAACTTGCGCTTCCATGGTAAGCTAAGCCCAGTGCTGATAGCCTAGTGTATGATATAGAGATCTCATATCACTTCTCTTTTAGGTACTCCTATCCATGGCCTTATTGCCCGGTCGAAGATCGCTGGCGGAAAATACTTCAAGACTCCGTCCTGTTTCATCCACCACCTCATATGAGCTGCTGCCCCGCTTAGCAATGATGGTGCAAGGTGTGTAAAGCGGCCCATATTTGGCATTATAATGCTCAACCGCCGAAGACTGCCGGAAGTTCCGCTTGAACACCTTCTGGCCGTTCTGGTATGTTGGGGCAAACTTTTTATGCCTTGAATTGTAGACTTTCCTACACTTCTCATCACTTTTCTGTAGATTTTCTTTTATTTTTTCTAACAGTTTTCCTCCTACTTCTTTTCAAACTTCTCCCTTGCCTCTTCCGAAAGCTCTCCCTCGTCTCTCTCTTGCCTATGTTCCTCTCCTTTTACGACTTTTTCATGACCGTACAGAATCCGGTATGGCGTAAACCCAGTCGAAGCATGGACGGTCGTGTTAATCAGCTCCTCAATATCTCCGATTCTGGTGTCCCATACACGTTGATCTGGCTGTATGTACGTACGTAGACACGCGTTTATGGTTCTGTTTGTCCGTTCCACTGGGTTAGTTTGGCTATGATGTCTCGCATTCGCCCAGTGACGGATTCCTCTTTGCTTGAGCAGAGACTGTAATTCCTTTCCCGTAAATGTCGTGGCATTGTCGCTAATGACCACTTCAGGTGTTCCATAACGCCGTATCCAATTATCCTCCACGATTTTGCAAACTCCTTTAGCCTCGATCTTCTTCACAGGAACCAGAAGAGTCCATTTAGAAAAAAATGTCCATAAGAACTAACAAATGGCAGTTCCTATTCCTGCTTCTAGGAAGACTCTGGATGTAATCTAGAGCTAAAATCAGAAAAGGCTTATTGGTGTTCTTCTGCCTCCTTATTTCTGGTTCTGAAACCACTGTGGAAGGCTTGCATTCCTTGCAAGTTGTGCAAGCACGCACGTATCGCTTGGTATCCATGGCCATTTTTGGCCAATAGTACCTTATTTTGATCCGGTGTGTCGTCTTTTCGTAACCAGGATGTAGGACGTCGTCATGTTCCTGTTGGAGTACAGACTGCCTCAGTTCCTCTGGCAAGCAGAGCTTCCATTGGAACCGGTAGTCCAAAACGTCCGAAGCTGCTGACACGAACTTATACAGCTTCTTGTCCTCGATCTTGAAATCCACGAAACTGTCTGGATCCTTTTCCACCTTCCTAAACTGTTTCGCATACCAACTATTATCCTTGGCTACTTCTATGGCTTCTACCGCTCTCTAAAGTGCATCTGCTACGACATTTTCCGACCCTTTTCTGTGCCGGACCTGCATATCGTACTGTTGCAACAATATGCTCCACCTGCTGAGTTTTGAAGAAGGCTTCCATTTCGAATTCATAATGAACGAAAGAGCCGAGGAATCGGTTATCAAGGTAAACCTGGTTCCTTCAACATAAGGCCGGAATCGCTCTATAGATTCCAACGCAGCAAGACCTTCTTTTTCCGCTGCCTTCCATGCCCTTTGAGGAGTAGTGAGCTTCCGTGAATAGTAGGCAACTACGTGTTCTGCCTCATCGATTTCTTGCGTCAAAATGCCTGCAATCGCCAAATCGCTAGCATCGGTTTGAATTTTGAAAGGCAAGTCAAATCGAGGGTTAGCAAGAACCGGTGCTGTGATCAACTTCTCCTTCAAAATATTGAATGCATTTTCTGCTTCTATGTTCCAGGCCACAACTTTCGGTTTACCTTTCAACAAATCCGTCAGTGGGGTGGTTACCTCACTAAAGCAATCAATAAATCTACGGTAGTAGTTGACCATCCCCAAAAATCGCCTGAGTGATCGAACTGATGCTGGTCTCTCAAAGTTAACAATGGCCTCAACTTTGTCCGGGTTGGGTCTCACTCCTTGTTCAGACAAGATAAATCCAAGGTAGGCATTCCAACTATAAATAATAAATCCAACTCTGGAACGCAAAATTTGGATTTTTCCAAGTTGATCGACAAATTTGCCGCGGTTAGTCGCCTCGCTACCTCTTTCAAAGTACGGATATGTTCCTCGAACGAGTTACTGGCTATAACGATGTCATCCAAATAGACAAAAACTGTGGGCTCCAGTTCCCCGTATCCTAACACCTGGTCCATCAACCTCGACAACGTCGCGGGACTGTTGACCAAACCAAATGGCAGACGAGTGAACTGGAAAAGTCCCGGAAGTCGGTGTACTTCCTTGAATCTTTCTCCAATGGAATCTGCCAGAATGCTTTGGACAGATCAATCGTTGATAGGTACTTCGACGAACCAAGTCTTCCCAGAATCCGCTCCTGATGCGGCAACGGATATGCATCCTTTCTCGTCCTCTCGTTCAGCTTTCTTGCGTCAAGGCACATCCGTACTTTGAGCTTTTGCTGACCATCCTCGCCTTCACTTCTCTTCATGACAGGTACGATCAGCATAGCCCAGTCACTATTGGACCTTTCTACTACTCCGGAAGCTATCCACTTATCCAACTCCTCGTTGACATTCCTTTGCACTTCCGGTGACCATGGGTATGGATTCAGTCTCACTGGATCCGCATTATTAAAACTCTCCTCAAATTCAATTTTATGAGTAATCAACGGAGTAGTTTCCAGTTGCTCACCATCTACAAATACTTTGAACTGCATTTTTACATCTTCCAGGCGCTCCACTGTTCCGACGTCAGTATATCACTTTCTGAGATCTCAGTCTGTTCGGCCTCCGCTACTTCTGCTTCATCTAGAGTCCTCTGGATCGTGGGTTTAATCCTGAATAACCTCCAGAAGTTCATTCCCAGTATCAGTCTCCTTTTCATGGAAGGGGCTACTATGGTTGTAAGAATCTTGGTTTCTCCATCAAAGGTTATCGGGAGATTCACGTAACCCTTGACTTCCAAACTGCTTCCTCCGGCCGTTGAGAGCTTCGTCTTGGTGTTGAACAGCTACAGTTTCAACTTCCTGATTAAGTTTTCGCTCCCTGCCCCCATAATGGAAACTTGAGCTCCACTGTCCAACAGTCCTACCAACCTGACTCCCAACACCTCTACTTCTGCAAAAGGCCGATTATCTCCTTTCAATTCTACGTTCAACTCGCTGACATCCGAACAAAATGGGACGAATACTGTCGGAGGCTTTCGTGACGGATTCCGACGACCTCCTACGTCGAACCTCGCCCGTTTTTTGCACAGTATGGGTAGTTTTTCTTCGTGTAATCGTGGAATCCACATACTGTACAAAATACCGCTTTCTCTGCCAAACACGTTTCTTGATGGTGGTATTTTCCTCTACAGTTGAAGCACACCATCTTCTCTGGAACCTTGTAACTCGCAATCCGCTTCTCCAGGGATCCTTTACTTGATCCTGCTGAAACTTCCTCCTGAGCTGCACTAGGATTTCTCGATACAAATGTCCTAGGCTTGTCCTGCTGTGGTTTCCAGTTGGGTCGGTTTGTCGGTGTTGCAGAATTCCAATTTCTACCTCCTGACTGGTTTGATCTTACGAAAGGTTTGGCACGCACCTCATGCACCTGTGCAGGTTTCGACGTTGAGTCCTGATCTCTGCTCCTATACATCCACATGTTTGCAGAATTCAACTTTCTACCCCACTGCTTCAACGCCTTCAACGACCTGACGCCTTTCACGACCAAAACATTTTTGTAGTCCGATCGAAGATTCCGAAAGATAATGTCAAACTTTCTTTCTTGGGACGGTGGCACCGACATGAAGCGGAAGATCTCCGAAACAGCGTTGTAAAAGTCCTGAAACTTCTCCGAACGTTTCTGTCTTCGCTGGGCTGCTTGTTGCTCATAATGGAAGTCCATGTCTGGAGGTTGAAACTCCAACTTCAACTCAGCAACGAGTTCGCCCCAGTTTCGGAATTGTCCATTTCTCTTGCCTTCCATGTACCACGTTCTCGCGTCTCCCGCAAAAAGGTGGATGGCTTCGCCAAACAGCATTCGTCTACTCAACCCCTCTGCTTCGGCCATGAATTCCACTTCTTCGATGAACTTATTGAGCTTCTTCCCATCGTCCCTTCCGTCATATCGCATCCTCCATTCAGCTACCGACCGAGGCCTTCTTCTGAAAACTCGGGAGCTATCTCGGTCAAAATCAGACCCACTACTATCCGCGCTAGAACTGTCGCTTTCGGTTGCTACTTGTGTGCTTTTCTTCTCCTGTTTGCTCGACCTACCACTTTCTCGTTTTTTTCTCGACTCCTGTTTTCCTAATTTCTTCTCTACTCTTTCCTTTTTACTCTTCTTCTCTTCTCCACCTTCAGATAAAGATTTCCTTTCTTTTTGATTTTCCATGAGATTCAACTTTTCCACAATGTACTTATCCACATGGTCAATCAATTTTTTAAACATTTCCTCTGAATTTTTCTCCTTTTTGCTGGGTTTCCTTTTCTTCTTATTTGCTGTTTTCTTCCTCTTTACCTTACTTGTTTTAGGCTCCGATAGAGAATTTTCACTCTCAGAACCCTCCTGCCAATCCGAATCTTCTGTATTTTCCTGTAAATCCTTCCTCATTCTCTCTTCCGTGTTCTTCGCAACTTCTGGATCATCCGACAAAAACGAGAAGTAGGTTTTAAGCAGTTTTACTACTACACCTTCTAAACCCTCAATATCGAAGTTTTCCTTCAACCTAATCAATCTGTAATACAAGTGTATCAGTCTGGTTTTCTCTGTTGGCATATCTGTCTTCTTACTCTTCCCGTTTTCTAGCTTATACCGAAGTTTTGCAAGCTTTTCGTCTACCTGATCAAACTCTCTCTTACAATCT